TGTATACTACATAAATGAAAAGCAAATATCAGCGCCAGGCGTCTTAGGCCTCGTTGCCTCCACCATCTTCGCCACCATCAGCTCCCTCAGCGCCACCACTACCCTCGTCGCCTTCATACTGGCAGGGGAATCCTCATCATCAGAAGGAGGCTCGTAAAGGAAGTCCAAATTCAGGCCAGGAATGTGCCTGTTGATCCTAGCGACAAGTTGCTCACCAACAGACAGCATATCACTGGCACGCATATCTTGCAGTTCGTCGGAGGATTTGAAGTCCTCGACGGCTTTGGCAGCAACCTCTGCATTTTTCTGAGCAAATTCAGCAGAGGCCAAGAACTCCTAAACTCCCTCGTTCTTACCTAAGTCGTAGCTTTGTTGCTTACCTAGTTCATATCCCTCTTGCCGGCCCCGACAAAGGAAGGTATCTTCGGCATCAGCGGCCTGCTTACAGGCCTCGTCGGCTCCCTTCTTGGCCGCCTCCAGCTCAGCCTTTGCCGCATCCAGCTCCTTGACGGCGAGGGCAAGCTTCTTTGAGACCTCCTTGTTGGCCTTCTCCGGTTTGAAGAGAGCCTTTAGGCGCCCTTCTATGTGGTCCATTCCCTTACTTCTGTCCTCAACCTTAACCATTTCAATGAAGTTAAGGAGGGAAAGGACAATGGATTGTCAAATCAAAGGAGGACATATGTTAAGGAAGAGAACAAAAAAAAAAAAAAAAACAAAAAACAAAAAAAACCTCGCAGAATTAGACGACGAAGCTTACATGAATCTGGAGAGAGATCTACTGGCGGGTACGGTCGACCAAAGAGGACCGAGTAGCGTTCTCCCAGTCTTGCTCAAAAAAGGATTCATATAGAGCCTAGAAGACAAGGGAGAAACGCAGTGATAGATTCAGTGCCGCCTCAAATTGAGCCGGGGGGACATCAGGTACAACGTACTGCGGATCCAGAACCCTTGCCCCATGAAGCAACAGACGTTCCCTGGGCGAAGGGGCCTCAGGAGCATCGGTTATATCAATTACCGGCCCTGGCTCAGCCTCCGCAGCAGCCGGGCAAGGCCTCTTGGGCCTCGGCGTCTCTTGAGTTGCCATAGGCTCTGCCGCGGGCGGAGGCCTCGCGGGACGCTGACCTCGGCGGCTTCGCTCGACCTCTCGCGAGGCCTTTGCTTCTTTGAGCGCCCCTTGCCGTCCGGAACTCGCGGCTGCAAGGTCTTCATCTCTGCATCACAATCAAAGCTGAGAAATTAGACAGACGACAGGTGATAATGAATCGAGTGCAAGGGGAAAACACTAAATTATGGCTGTAAAATGGAAGAAGTCCTTGACCGCGTTGGTGTCTGCAGGGTCAGGGAGTGAAAGTAGAAGGCCGGAGCTTTGTAAGTTGTGCCGCGTCAACAGAGCACCGATATGACGCTCGTTCTCTGGGAAGCTGAAGGCTTTCGTCACCCTTGCGAGCCGATTCCCAAAACGTTGAGGGCGGTCCTGGAGAACTGCGCAAAAAGATGTGAGGTCAACGGTATAAAAGCATAACGTCAGCTGTATAATATACAGTCCAGGATACTTACTCAATGTCCCGAAAGATGTATGCACCCCTAGGTGCTTAAAAGACTTATTAGCTGGGTGGACGTCGAATTTATCATGAAAAACATTGGCTTCCAGGCATCGGACGATGAGGGCAATCCCTTTATTAGTTTTTCTAAAACGGGCTTGGATCGCCTGTAACTACCCAAAAAATACCAGCCGTCGCACTTAGGGACCTGGCAAAGTTTATATACGAAAAGAAATTCGTCCAAAGGCAGATTCACATCAAGTGTCATCCCCGCCGTGAAGGCCCGGGTATAAACAGACAGATAACCCGGGGGCGGTAGGCTTGCCCTGAAGTTGGGGTTCAGGAGGAGGTACTCGAACCATCGGCCATCCACGCGTCCCTTCTTGTACGCACGGGCGATGTCTCTCTCCGTGTCTTCGGCACCATGAAGTTAGTTGTGAAGGACGACCGCTCCTCATCCACCCCCACCGATGCCACGGGGACACCAAAGTGTCGTCCACTGTAGCCAGAGATAACAACGCCGACCAAGGAGTTGGAGCCGCTAGACGTGGAAGGCTCCCCCGCGTCTGGCTCGCCTTCGACCAGGCGGTCGACGCTGTCCTCATCGTCCCGAGGATCAAGGATATAGTCTTCGACCTCCCTCAAAATCGGATCGCTGTTGGTAGAGAGGGTCCGGCCTCACAAGAGGCACGGACGATGATCCCCCTCAACGTTTAACTCTTCTAGATGCTATTACTGTGAATGAAAAATCTAAGGTTAACATCCTATGAGTCGAGAGGGGAGAGGAAATTAGTTCGGCACCTAAAGTTGTAAAAAAGAAAAGAGGGAGAAAGAGAGGCTTAGTCAAATAAAAGTTAAGGCTAAAATGACGACAGTTCAAATAGGCAACGATGATCCTAGCCTAAACATGAACTAGACGACGACGATTCAAACATAGCGTCGACAATTCAAATAAACCCAGAAAGTCAAACAAGAATCCATGCCCACTCGAAACTCTCATGACCAGTTTAGAACATAGCAAAAAACACCAAAACCAGGTCGTAGCACCCTTATTACGTCATTTTTCAACCATTCCTCCCCCCCCCCCCCCCCCCCCCACCCCC